AGCATCATCCATAAAGCTATCTAATTTCTTGAAGTCAAATTGTCCAGAATAGCTGTCTTCGCGACGAGCCATACCTTTTTGCGCGGAACGAAGCTTATTCACATAAGGGAGACTGACCGATCGAAGTACTGCCGAGTCTTGTTCTTCCTTCTCAGAGGACCCAGTAAAGGATGAAAAGGCAGATGCAGCGTCCTCGAGTACGTTCACCAATTCACAAACTTTTGTGTGGAAGAAAGGCTCAATAGACAGTTGCCTTTCCTTCCTTTTTCGGTTGGGCATGAAACAGATCTAGGCCCAGGCCCACTATAGCACCACTCAATCAGACATGGAGCAGACAGGTCCACTCTCCATGGCTTCCACAGCGAGACTCTACATACTTTAAAATTGAGTGTGCTTCATTAAGTATTTCCCCAGTGGCTTCGTGTATGATTTGAGTTAAAGATTGCCTGCAGCCTTTGTTTTTTTTCAAAGAGATGAAGTAATTGGTTGGAGCATCTGTTAAGGAAAGCACTTGTTTTCGCGATCTAACAAGTGCTCCTTCTACTATATGACTGAGGTATTGTAATTCATCTTGCTTCTTCACAAGGTCAGGAGAGCTTGGGTCACAAATTTTCAAGTATCTTATGTCATATTCGAAGGAGGAGAGGGCGTTTGAGAAGGTGGCTTTCTTTGTGGTTGAGAACTCTATGGAGAACATTTTAATTTTGGCCTTTGCTATTTCCCACCAATCGACGGGGGAGTTTTAGTGAGTTCGTTCAGAAAGGATGGTATTCCAGGTTGTCAGAAAAGAGGATATGAAAGTGGCATCTTTTCGTAAGGAATTGTTGAAGTGCCCAGAAGGCTGAACTTCTGGAGGAGGAGTTTGGGCAAGTGATAGAGAGTGTCAGGAAACCTTGGAGTTCCCGGAAATTTCCTAATCTCAGTCGAATTTTCTGCATCGTGCGGGACTAGTATGAAAAGGTGATTTCCTAGTGTCGTTGTGCCCGTTGTGTCATTGGAAAGGAGAGTTCTCGATTTCTGAAGGAAACCTGTTTTTCGCGGAGATTTCCGAATCTTTGCCGAATTTTTCGCATCTTGTGATACTAATATGAAAAGGTGATTTCTTAGAGGAATTTTATTGTAGTGCCCTTCTCTAGAAGATATTCAGCAGTTGAATAAAAGTGTTTCTCATGTTATACATTAGCCCACTTATCCACTCTGCTAAGACATAAGTTATTTGTCCCCCATTCCTAAGATTTGGGCAGTCCACTTCAGCTAGATGCTATGCTTAAAGATATTGAATAGGGTCATCCATTCAAGTAGGGTGCTTAGCCGCGAAAACTTAGTGGCCTGCTCAAATCTAAGCATGGAAGACTGACATGAGCCCAATATTGAATGCGGCCCCTAGAGCTCTTCTTAAAACCTGGTTTTCGCGGAAATTTCCGAATCTCAGTCGAATTTTCCGCATCGTGTGATAGTTCACTGAAAAGTCTATTTTCTTCTGCAGTTGAGTGCAATTACGATCTAGTAAAGCTGAGTTCTGGATTCTCGATATAAACCTGGCTTTCGCAGAAATTTCCAAAACTGTCGAATTTGCGACATCGTGCGATAGTTGTATGAAAAGTCGATTTTCTACTAACGTTGTGTGCACTTCCATAAAGGAAAACAGAGTTCTCGATTTCTGATGGAAACCTGGTTTTCGCGGAAATTTCAGGCGTTTTAATCGATCTTTCCGCATATGACGTTAGATGTTTGAATTTTCGATTTTCTACTGTCATTGTGTCCTGATTCACAGGAATTGACACTTTTCATTTCTGATAGAGTCCTTTATTTTGCGGAAATTTTTGGTATCGTATGCTATTTTTCTGCGTCTTCCTTTCAACGTTCGAAATGGTTGCTTTCTTCAGCGTTCGTCGCATTTGTTTGGTGACAAAATCTCAGCTTCTGATGGAATCGTCTCTTCGCTGAAATTTCCGGTGTTTCAGTTTTTTTTCCTGTTGCTTCAATGCATGCTTAGAAGTTTGTTTCTCCGTTTCATTTCATCGCAGAGAAGTATATGTTTTAGCATATTTTGCGGATTTTGGTCGAATTGATGAATTCGCAGAAATCTGCGTAATATTCGTAGATTTTTAAAATCATGTTTCTTTTGTTGCTTGAAATGCAGTTTTCCTGGTTCAGTTCACCGCAGTGAATCTTTTTTTTTATTCCGACCGAATTAATGTATATTTTTATATTTCCATAGGCTTGGTTTTTTTTCCGGATGTTCGAAAGAAACCGGAACTATAATTTTCCGGATTCAATTAAACGCATTGAAACATTTGGTTTTTAGACTTTTGATTTTTCAGATTTTTACTCAATCCTGATAATCGCGGAAGAATGTGAAGATTCTGATCGAATCCTGCTAATGGTTGAACTTCGGGAGTCCTTACAGTTTATTCTTCATTTTGCGATATGGGCAGGCCTACACATTTATTGGTCTGCTTTAGTTCATCGCACCAAGCATATGGTGAGAACATTCGGAGATTCTGGTAGATTCCTGATAATTGGGGTTATTTCCTTTGTTTTTTTTTCATCGTTTATTGGGAATTGCTTTAACGATGTTTTTTTTTAATATCTTACCTAATCCTCAATCTTTCGTATTGGTTGTCTTGTTCCGATCAGTGCTTGAACTTTCGTTTGTCTCAGTAATATTCGCGGCCATCGGCCGTGACCCTTTTCTAACACGACTGACGGATAGCGAAAGAAATGATGCAACTTCAGAACTTGCCATATTGCGACTGGTATGAAGTCTCACTGTAAAAAAAAAGTTGCAAAATCAAGTTACCACTGAACACTTTTATTTTTCAAATGCCTTCATGAACGATCGGACTTTTCGGATTCGCGTCGCAGCCCTCACGAATCGCAATTTTTTGTACCAGAACGCTAATTACAGGTTTAAGCAGAGCCCGTTAAATTAGCTTCTCGTTTTTTTTGTTTTTTTTTTGGGGGGGGGGGGTGAAAATTAAAAAGGCGATAGAAAGCAGGTTGGGAGAGAGGGCTTACACCTGTGAAGGAAGATCACGATCAACGCTTTTTATTACACGTTACTTATTTCACGTCTTACAGTATCGTGGATGCTGTAAGGAATAATTCTACTTACGCAGTAGTAAGCCTTTTTGGTTCCCATATTTAAAAGTAGGCAGGACACAGAAGAGAATTCGAATTTCAGACCACAGGATTACAGGCTCCAGCGCACTTCCATTACGCAAAATTGATCGCGTATTTATGACCTTCCGTGAGAGCGCCATGACCCCTAGCGGAATAATAAAAAAATATCTGAAAATGACCAAAATTAAGGGAAAACATCTTTTCACGCATGCATAAACCTGTCACGTATTGGATAGGGGGCGATTCCTAATCAATACACGACTGTGGGATTATTAGGTAATCTCGGATTCGGTACAGCAAATTCAGGAAAGAAAATCCACCATCGTAATTTCAAAATAATTACACAATTATATTAATATTCAAAGATTTAAAATAAAAAGGATGATGAAATAAAATATTGGAGGGACAATAGACGCAACACCAGAAACATCAGAAAAACGTCTCACAGGCAAATCCCTATTTGATCCTCGCCCCACCCCACAAGCTGCTCCTCGCTCTTGCTCTCGCTTTCCCTCTCTCTCTATTCTCCTCTCAACCTCCTTCGACTCCTCCTTTTCCCCCAGGTCTTCCCAGATGAAGCCGATAAGGTTTTCAGGTCAGGATATCCGTTCCCGGAGAAGGGCTGCCATTCCAGATTATTAATCAGGGCGTCTCGCCCTTGGACATTATCGGTCATGAGGGGTGTGCTGTTCAGGATATCCATTCCCGGAGAAGGAATGCTTTTATCCATCTATTACATCCTGTGTCTTGTATCAGGTCCCTAGGTACGACCTTCTTAATGAGCTTTTTAATATGCTTCAAACCTTATCCTTCTTAGTGGACGGAGGAAGCAGACGAAAAAGGGGAGGGAGCAACCCATGACGTCACATGGCACGAAACTGTTGCCCCCTAACCTTTTTAATGTAAACCTGTTGGCAGGCTGGTAGCAGCATCCCTTTGCATGGTAATCTGGGGGAGGGGGGGGGAGGAGGGAAACCATCTGACAGGTGTTTGTCGAGACTAGACAGTGCAATACAAAGACGAGATATCGCCAGAGATTGAAGAGTCGCGGGACTCTTTCTCCCACCGGCGTTATCGTGACAGTGCCACAACAGAGCTGAGATTAAGGATGAATATCTTTTCGGTGTCGCTCGCATGGACTGCGATGGCGGCTCGAGAAATCGGAGGGGCACGGCGAGGGGAAAGAACGCGGAATCGCACCGCGAGATTCGCGGGGGGGATAATTCGTTTCGATTCTCCATGCGCTGTGCGATGGAGTTTTTGCTGCGAATGTGGCCAAATTTAGCGTTTGCAGAATCTTTTTTTCTTTTACTTTATTTTCATGCCGCAACCTGACGCTCGCTTTCAAGAAAGACAAATTTTACATTTTCTCAACCCGCCCAATCCACATTATGATATTTCCGAACATCTGATGGAGTCGATGGTGTCAAGGAAATTTGAAGCGTCCAAAATTCTCTGAAGCAGGCACTGGCGAATGAAAATGTGTGTAAACAACAGACGGAAATGTGTGATGAACAATAAATAATTTCTCGTTAAAGTTTGAGATCATGAAATCCAGTTTGTTATTTATTTCATGTCAATTCTTATTATCATCAAATGAAACTCCTTGCCGACACTGTTGATCGCCTTCCAGCCTTGCCTACGCTCCGGTTTCCCTTGCCCGATCGATTGCAATCAATTCAAGTTAGGCCCTCGAATGCGAGCAATCCGATGCCCGAAACGGATTGCCTCGAGGATTTCTCCTCAGATGAGAAATACAAACGGCGGCGGAAACCAGAATCTCGATAAGATAACGCCATAATCCCCGCGGAACTTGCCTTATGAAGGCTCCGTCCATTCCGAAGTCCACGCATCATGTTGTGATCATCAGCAGTGTCTTTGGCCCTCGATATCGGTGGATCGACAATCGGCAACCCAGCCCGTCCACTCGAGACGCTTGGAGCAGGTGAGTCCGGTTGGCGGCTCCAGGCCGGATCGATGGAAAACGGAAGCACCGATTTTCCACTTTTGAAGGTCACGCTAATTTCATCGTTCGGCACTAATCGGAAGGAAATCTTTGAGCACTCGAATACTCTTTTTTTTTGTCCCAATCAGTGCAGAACTTATTAATTATGGAACTAAATTAGAGCGCTTAAGCGATGGCCGAGGGACCAGATAGCGATGCATCATCTCGTCCAATTTTTTTTAACTTGGAATCGCGCCGTACGCGGAAAACGTGGATTTCCTCGTTTTCTCGGCACGACACGGACGCGAATACCAACCCGAAGATTAGACGAAAATCATTGAAATTGTGCAAATGAACGCGGGTTTAAGTTAAAATGAGTAGATGCCCTAAGGTCACCCCGTTGTTTTCCTCGTATCGTACTGTACATTAACAGGCGCAATGGTAATAGTAAGAGGGAAAGAGAAAAGCATTCTCCAGCCCAATAGTGAAAATAGTCAAGGGCCTTATTCACGAAACATTCTTACGAACCTTTTTCTTCAAGCCTCTGCTGCCACGAATTCATGGTACTTTCTTGCGTAAAATTTTCGTCCGATATTTCGTACGCAATTCGTAAGAATTCCACACAATTTCAGTATTCACGAGAGTGCAAAGGTTCATGACTTTCTTCGTAAGTCTGCGAACGAGAAACCGATCCTCCCTTTCACCTTTGCACTCCACTTCAGGGTCCACGAATTCCATTTCACACCCTCGGCATTTCCCCGCACTGAGTGAAGAGAGCTCGCTGCCTCAGCCTCCAAATTGCTTCCGATTTCAGTTTTCCCCTAACGCTCGATCTGGGATTCGCCGGTTCAGCCATCTTTTCCCCGTCTTTCGTTCATGTCTCATTTCTCTGCTCACGTCAGTGGCGTAACTAGGGAGGGGGGCCAGTGGGCGCCAAAGTCCAGAGGGCGGCAAAGTAGCCTTTCAAAAAAATTTATTTCAAAAAGAAGCAAAATTTCGGAAATTTTTTCATTTTGCCGCCCACTGAAAAAATGCCCATTTTGGCGATTTTACGATTTTTTCTCGTTTGCGCCCTCAGTTCAGAGGGCGGCAAACTTCCATTCTTGCTTCTTCCATTGATTTCAGCGAAGTTATTAAAGATTTTGCAGCCAGTAAATCAAGAAGGGCTGAATTTCCCCCCCCCCCCCCCCCCTTAACCCCCCCCCCCGGTCACACGCAGTCAGGGAAACGTCCTGCACGTCCAGGTTGACGAATTTCCGGTCGCACATCTGCGCAGTGCCATTTGGGCCGAATCCCGAAGTTATTTTTGCTCCTTTTCAGCTTTTTTTTTTCAGGCATCGAATGTGCTTTTCTCATTCAAATTTCGAAATCCGTTTCCACCATTTCGTAACATTTTCTTCGTTCGCGTGCTCGCGCCGTTTCGCGTTTTTGTCGAGCAAATCCCTCCCGATGATTTGAAAACGCCATCTTGCATTCGGAGACATTTTGAAAGACGAGTTCTGCGAACCGGCCTGGCCGAGGGCCTCACCCCTCACCCTTCACCCCAGTCAACATTACTTACGATCATCATTACTAACTCTCTGAATGGAATTAATTGTCAGCCACCTCTCTCTCTCTCTCTCTCTTTCTATCTCGTGCCGACGATCAGAGACTTGAGACAAATTCATGTTGACGTTTCGAGCCAGTACTACCCCTTCTAAGCGTCAGGAAATGAAAGGCCAGCGCCCTGGAACATATTGAAAGGTGGTAATAATAATAATAATAATAATAATAATAATAATAATAATAATAATTATTATTATTATTATTATGTTCTTTATTGGGACAGAAATAGTTTAGACAGCAGATGAGACAGCATGGTGGGGTTGTTCCCCCTCTTCCTCGGCGTGAGAACCCCGAGCCGACCTCTTATCTCGTCTACTGCAAGTGCCACTTGTTTCTGTCGTTTCTCGGAATGAAACATTCCTCACCTTTTTCCTTCCCTTATCATTCCTCACCTTTTTCCTTCCCTTATCGCCGAGCGATCGGCCTGCGCCGGCGCTCCGGGAACCGGCCGATCCGGGATCTCGCGTCCCGGTCCCGTCCGTCCGGGATCCGGTGCGATCCCGGCTGCCGACGCCCTTTCGCGCTTTCACCGCTTTCTGCCCTTTCCGAGTCGGTCTTCACTCGTATCGACTCGGACCAATTATGTCGTGATTCCCGCCACCGGCATTGAGAAAAACGCGCGGAGCCGTCACGATGATTTCGTCACCCTCATAAAACGGCGGCTCGCGATCGACGAATCACTGGCGCCAAATATCAGGCGCCACCACCGAATGTTCATTACCCGAGATTTCGTGTTTCATATGCGATTAGATACAAAATGGGACGTGGAAGTCCTAAGTGCAGTCGTCGTACGCGATCGTCATTCTGGAAACAGGCGGATCCGCGATATTTCTTAGTTCATCGCAGTAAATACGAATGCCGATATTCTACAAGAGGATGGCACTTTATGCTACATGCTACATGCTACATGCTACATACGTCGTGCGACCGGAATCTGGAAGAGGAATGAATCCATTCGACTTCTCCCTGGATAGCCCGAAGGCCAGAAGCGAATCCGATCGAGCGTCTGCAGAAAAATTTCTCTTCCGCGAAGAAAAGCGCCCGTTCGGGTCCCACCGATGTCGTGAGGAATCTCTCGCACGGATTTGGGAGGAGCCCGCGCCCAAGGAAGAAATGGGCTTTACGGATACCTGATAACATGTCATGGAATGTCGTGCGCTAAGCAACATGTCATGGAATGTCGTGTGCGAGGCAACATGAAATGGAATGTCGTGTACTAAGCAACATGTCATGGAATGTCGTGTGCGAGGCAACATGAAATGGAATGTCGTGTGCTAAGCAACATGTCATATAATGTCGTGTGCGAGGCCCCCAGACTGCCCCTCTCTCTCGAGCTGGCTATCTCCTTCCCAGAGGCAGGCCCTCGTGTCTGTGCAGCTGATTCCTCTCTGATTGGGGAAGGGGGAGGAGAGAGGGGAAAGGGTTGGAGAGAGGGGAAAGGGGGGAGAGAGGGGAAGGGGGGAGGGGGGTTTTCATTCGCCATCAGCCGAGGTGAAGGAAATAACTTGCGACCATTAACGAGTTGGTTTCGAGATCGTGGTTATTGCCGCAATATAACCTAGGGATTCGTTTCACAGACCCTGAATACCCCGAACAGACTCTTTGCAGGTGGTAAACAGTTTACCCAAATAATTTATTTTAATATTAAAATATTTTGCAATAAAAAAAATACTGCGTTTCCGTTGTTGCAATTTCTTTGCTGGCATTAGACGAAGGAAAATAAAATTTGATTTCGTTGGAGTTTCCCCTTCCATCAATCCAAACCGGGGGGGGGGGGAATTCGCAAGCGAATACGAAATCCGAGGATGATCCCGAGGAAGGATCATCCGCCGTTCAGACCCGGAAAATCCGTCCAGGTTTTCCAGGCCTTTATCAGCGAGGAAATTCCCCGGGGAATCTCGACCTCGACGCGCGAGATTCGCAGAGAATTTTTTTTTCCTCCCCTTCCACGAATAATCCAGCACCACCGAGCGATCGAAAACGCGGAGATCCGCCAAAACCGCCGCCCAAATAAAAAAAAAAAAAGTAACCGGTCTTCGCGATCGTCTTTTTTTTAAATTGAATTTTCGCTCTTGCGCCGTAGGGACGCCCGATCGAAGATTCTCCCGGGGAAAGCCGGACGTGCCAGAAGCCGGATGGAGGATGAAGACCCCGGATCGCCTGTCGAAGGTCATCCTGCCTTTTCATGGCTCTCCCCATTTTTTCTCATTGGTACGATCGGTCTTATTTTTTTATTTTTTTATTTTTTGCAGAACTGAGAGAAGCTCGGAAATTTGGTATCGAGTGTCAATTTTGTGGAAGGAGAATCGTCCTCGTGAACCTGGATGACCACGAAGCAAGTTCAATTTTTTTCGTTAAAGCTCGTTCAAAACTTTTTTTTTTCGTGCCAATTCTCGATTTTCGGCGTTTTTGCACAGTGGTTTTGCAGCAGGTAAAGACAGCCACTCTGAAAGAATTTTCAGAATAAGTTTTCTCCGTACTTTTTCATGCAAAATTCCTCGGATCTAACAAGACTCAAAAAAAAAAATTAATACGATCTCGTTCCAGGAAAATTGCGAAGACGAACCGCCTTCCACCAGCTGGAGAGCCTGCGTCCCGGAGCGTTGTGCGGATGGGGCAAATGGGGCAAATGGGGCAGATGGGGCAAATGAGTTGGGCCTCCGTGAGTTTCAGTCGCTCCATTCCCTCGATTGATTTTTGAAATAAATATTTTATATTAAAAAAAAAATCATCAAAAAGATGTAAAAGAATTTTTAAAAAAAGATTGAAGTCTTAAATCTGACACGAAGAAGCAAAATTACCAGGGTCGAGCGCTGGCGGCGTGAGCGAGCTTCACCTGGTCGAGTGCCGACACTGCTCGGCGTCGGTTCCGCCGGACATGGTCGACTCGCACGAGGTGAGACGGTTTCATCCGGCAGTTTTTAACCTTTCCGGGTCGTCGCGACCTCGCAAGTCATCGATGTGAATTTCTGTCGCCAGATGTTTTGTCCCGGCCTCGGTGGCGAAGACGGGATCCCGGTGATGAGCGTGTCGTTGCCGAAAGTCGTTTCACCAGGTGTTGCTTTTCTCACTGCGGCCATTCGCTTTAAGCATGCTTGTCGTTCACCCTATTTAATTTTTTCCTTCATTTTACTTGAAGTGCAGGCACAAAAGACGGGAAACCTGGAGGATTCAGAGGAGGACGCGTGGGAAGAACAGCTGAGCGATCGCTTCGGTCAGGGAGCGAGTCTGGGCCCCGGCAGGATCGTCTCCGAGCCTCTTCGAGATACGATCGACGGTGCGAGAAGAGAACCCGAGGTTCCGGGTGGAACTCACCGTGAACTCGCAGGAGCTCATGCCATCCCCTCTTCTTCCGCGTTTGAGCTCTTTCATGGATTCACGTACGATGATCCGGCTCTCCAGCCGTTCGTGGAACAGTTGGAAGGCGTGAATGCCGATTCCTCCGACGAGGAGATCGTGGAGCGCCTGCGCCTCGTCCTGTCCCATGTCCCACGAACCGAGAACACGGACACGGTCCCGTGCGAGTATTGCCACGAGCAATTGCCATTCGATGGCTTGGAGCTCCTTCTTCACCAGACCGGCTGTGGACGGGAGGTGTTCCTCGGTACCGAGGACGGGAGCCTTTGGATCGAATGTCGGAGATGCTCTTTTCCGCATCCTCTCGATGAGATCCAAGAGCACGAGGAGAGCTGTCGAGTCGACGAAGCCACCGAACGACAAAGCAGTCCCAATGTCACGACGAAACGAGATGTTTGGACGGAGGAGGCGGCCTGGCCGGTCCGATCTGGGAAGCTGGCTCTGAAAGGCCCAGAAATCATGAAGTCTTTGCTCGGTTGGATTCGGCAGCACAAATGGGAAATCCTAGCCGTCGGTTTGCAAGTTGCCCTGCTTTACTTACCTTGGGGAAATATCTTCTTCGCCCTAGGGATACCTGTGATGTTGCATGGGGTAGCATTGAAAATCATCAAAGGGCTGATCGTTGCCATCTGCAAGTTGACCGAGAGTGCATGATTTCCTCTCTCTCTCATCAATCTCCGATTTTCAGTCATTTCATTTTGAGCTTTCCATAAATGACACTGGGGGAATGAAAATTTCGCAACAAATGCCGAATAAATGTCTCGTTTTAGATCACATGAACGACTGCAGGGAATCAAACGTTACGTTTACTAATGAAACTCGACACGAACAATCGAGATATTCATATCGAGATCAAGTAACGATATCAAATTGAAAAACAAAATGGTGACATACTCCATGTACGTTTTGCATGCATTATCTGCAATGGAGCTCAGAAACTTGCCACAAATCAGCTCATTTCTCAGTTTCCTTCTCTGTTGATTCTCCTATTTCTGTATTGCAGTGTTCACTTCCCTGATTGCTCAATTCTTNTCTATTGTTATTGTTGCTGACCAGCCTAGTCCTTCCGAATCTCACCGGTACTCATCTAATTGGAGTCAGTACATATAGTAGGGCCCTTTTACGTACACGGAGAACACGTAATCCCATTCGGCGGCCGCGCCCACAAAGGTAACGAAAATGGAGGACATTGAAATGTAGCATAGACAGAAGTCCCATGCAACACGAAAATCATGAGACCACATAAGACATTTTCCATTAAATTAAGTTACCTTTTCCACCAAAAACGACAATTCTGGAGGTCAGCACGTCGTGAATGAGCTCTCGACCTCGACTTAGGATTTCTTTTTGGGCTGAATTCATGCATTCTCATGAAATATCCATTTAAGTATTCCTTGCAAAAACTGTCTTTATTGGAAAGAAAGACACATGCACCAAATTTTTGTGGAACTTAGATGACAAACAAATTAGTACTTACACTGGGAAAACATTCAATCAGCATGGACACCAAAAAAGAAAACCAGAAAAAAGGCATCAGGCTATCAGCATTGGCTACGAAACAATCTGTAGCAAATTTGACAATTCGCTCAATTCCATACGGTTAAGAGTTGTGCAGCCTCAGTGAAAGAGGGTTCCCTGGTGAACTGAGGGAAAATGCCACCATTGAAAGAAGTTATGCATAAATTCCCTGATTTCCCTGAATTTGAGTCATGCTCATTTCTTGCTCACGTGAGGACAAGATTTGTCGGCTTTGGTCAGTGACAAAAAAAACTGCATTCACAGCAGCTGCTCCTCACCAAGTGCCTGAGATGACAGCCAACTGGCACGAAGGGTGGAGACAAGACCGGCTAACTGCAACTGTTGCAGTCGGAGGTAGGTGCTCATGATTTTGTCTCTGTATTTCCAGACTGACTAAAATCAGGAAGGTAGATATCTGATAGAAATGTTGCATCTAATTAGTCAGGGGCTGCTTGATCAATAAATTGATCAAGTCATCAACACTTTTTACCAACACAAATGTCACTTTCTGAATCTTGCAGCAAGAAAAAAAAAAGGGTATGCTGAAGGAGAAAATTTCATGAAATAAGAATATTGGCTTTAGAGGGCTTTTTCACGATGAAACTAATCAGATTAAAACATCATCTAGCAGACAACAACAGCATCATCGTGTTGTTCAAAGGCATAGCACATCAAGAATATATGTATATCACATGATTCTGTTAGATAGATCTCCAGATTCTTTTTTTTTTGGCACATTACAGGTACTGACAATGTATTATAAAATATCGTGAGATCCATTTGAGATACCAATTTGTGAATATTCAGAACTTTATTGCATGTAGAACTGCTTGCATAATTAATAAGTTAGTATAACCAAATTTTTAGTTCAACAAATAGCAGGGGCATCTCCAGGAGCAACCATCCCAAATTGCACCACTGCTAAATTTATGTTGACCGGATGCAAAGAAACTGTGAACATGTGTGCCTCCACGTCAAGATGGAAAGCGTGTTGCATTCCTGTGTGAGGGCAGAGAACGTGGATAATCTAGTGAGAAAGGGTCAATGAAGACTAGCAAAATTCCAACATCAGCAATAGCAAGAATAGTTCATCAGACCCGACACCAACAAATCGAGGGCAGTCCAGGCAAAAGGACTATGAATTAGGCCCACCAATTTAGTTGAAAGAATTGAGCAATCAGGGAAGTGAACACTGCAATACAGAAATAGGAGAATCAACAGAGAAGGAAACTGAGAAATGAGCTGATTTGTGGCAAGTTTCTGAGCTCCATTGCAGATAATGCATGCAAAATGTGTGGAACCCAAATGAGTAAAGAGTGTGAGGACATGTGCTTGGAGATGGTGTGGGAATGTAGAAAGGCAGTGGAGGGATGTTCATCCTTCCTGCTCTTTCCTGTTCCACAAAAGATTTTGAAAGTATTTGCATTCATGCATTTATAAAGCATTCATCTGCCAATTGTACTCACACATATCCACTACCCTCCAGGTACCATCTAGAACAGGACTACTCAACATATGGCCCACTGCATCTTGGAGGATGTGGTCTACATGTGGACATATAGCTTTTGGTGCAATCCATTCCCCTGCCAAGAAGATCACCTTGGCTTATCAGACAGGCATAGTAGGAGCAATGACTTTGGCAGATATTTTCCTGCACAGAACCATTGGACCAAGTGTAAGGTGGCAAGGCAAAGGCTCATTCTGTAACATGGTCATGTGGGGTGCCATCTCACCTCCACCTCTTGCTTATGACAGGGCTCAGAGATCTTCTGAGAACTCTAAATTGCCTCTAGAACAAGAGGAGCACTTTCAAAGAAAATTGCCTCATATCCTGCTTTTATGCCACACCTCTACCAAAAGTTTTCCTGCATCTGTTGATTTCAAGTAGAAATCAGAATTTCATGCTAGTACATATTAATAAATTTCTGTTACAAGAGAACAAAGCATCAGAATGTGAAAAATATGGCAACTACTAATATCTTGGGACCTGATTTGTATTTTTTGACATGATTTTTCAGCTTTCCTTCTTTGCCTCGAGAACTGACAAAGGTGTTCCAGCATGAAAATTTGGTTCATACTTGTAAGTATATGATGAATAGATAGTAATTTGGACAGAATATCTGTACCTAAATTTCTCTAACACTTCAGCCCACCTGTGGGTGATATCATGAAGTCTCAATTGAGATTCACAGAACAGTCAAGGGTAATTTCAACATGGATCAGCAAAAAATTTGCCTGCTGAAGAATCATACAGACTTCTTATAATGAAAATATTGCAAACCACCTTGGCGTTTGGTAATGGTTTGAGTGATAACAGCTTCCAACTATGGCATGGATGTGACCCTATTTTAGTCCAGTCAATAGACTTCATATTAAATTCAACTGACTTTCTTCACATTCCATCACATTCATTCCTTTTGACATGAGTAGGCTACCATCCCCCTGCTCTCCTAGTCCTCCTGACTATCAGCTACTGTCACTGCAGATAGGTTCTCAAGCTCATTCGGTCCCACAGCGGAAGAAATCACATCTGTTATGGTCGATGGAGACCCAGCCAAAAGCTGCTTCTTCTTCTTCCTCCTGGGCAACAGGTCTGTCGTCTGTGAGCACTTGTACGTGACACCAAGAAATGTGAATTCCTCCATGCCCTGATATCGGTAGAATGTCCGCAGCACGTTCACCGGCTCCTGTTGGTCTTGGATGAAGAACGAATCCAGACCGGGGTGCATGTCCCTGTGATGAGCTGTCACAGATTTCTGCAGGGGGAAACCCTGGCCGCAATGGCCGCAAGACCACGGGAAGATGTGACGACGCATGTGCTGCTGGACAAGAATGGGCTTCACTGACTCATTGCAGAATGGGCATTCCATCCATTTTCCTTTCTGACCATATCTCCTCCTGCAGAAGATATCATTTCAAAATATGACTGGATGAGAGAGTAAAAAAAATAATAAAATAACCCTGGTAAGAAACAATGAGTGAATATTTTAAATACAATAAATATTTTAAATACAATAAATATCAATTTGTTGCAGGACAACTGCAGAACTGTGACTAATCTTGATTCTACCACAAAGGCAACATATGGTCAGTTCTTGCAAATTCAATACTAGCCACAAGTAGAGCTTACAGATAAAATATGTCTCACACATAAACGAGGGCTCTGGCATCCAGTTAAATGCTTGAAAAAAGGTTTTCTATTTTAATGCAAACTGTTTCAAAAATGAAACCATCATATTTATTGACCATGAGAATCACAAAAAAATCATGTTCCACTTATGATAAATAGTCATGACTAAAACAGAACACTAATACATGATTATGTAAATCCCATCGTATGAACTTGGCTTGTGCAGAAATTCCTAGCATCAGTCTTTCTTTGTGGAGATGTTATGAGAGGATGTGCTCACATCATGCAAATCAGAGAATGAGAACAAGGTAAACCACATCCCTACACTTCTCAGTTATCAGTAAGAGTGCATTATGTTGTTAATTCCTGTAGATGCCTTGAAATCTAAAGTTCAGAGGAAACAGCAAAATATATGCAATTAGCCCATTCAACAATGTTGTCCCTGATGTGGATGGTAATTCACTTTTGCTCATTTTACAGGATTTATACCTCTGAAAGTTGCTGAACAGCTGAATGAACCTTTTAAAAATTATTTATAAAAAAAAGCAATCATGGACCTGACTTTCCAGCACAAAAGTATTTTAGGTCTATTATTTATATATTGAATAGAAGGAAACTGCGATGTTCCTCCCAGCCAAAGCCACTCCATGGCAACTGGGCTTGTGGCCTCAGATGGTAAGAAAATGCCTCCGGTCTTCATTGAACAGGGCTCAAGGTCGACACTAAAGTGTACATTGATGTAATGGAAAAGTCTGTCAAACCTTGAATCAAGTCCAGCTACCCTCTGGACACCAACTATGTCTCCCAGCAGGACGGGGCCCCTCCCCACACTATGAAGAAAACCCAGAAGTGGCTGGAGGTCAACTTTGTGTCCTTCTGGGACAAGGATATGTGGCCCCCCAGCTCCCCAGATCTTAATCCCCTGGACTACAGCATGTGGGCATTTGTAGAGGAGGCTGCCTGCAACAAACCCCACTCATCTGTGGCAGCCCTGAAGTCCTCCATCACGAAGGCCTGGTCCAACATGAAGGAGGACTACATCATCAAGACATGCTCAGCCTTCAGAGGCCGTTTGGAGGCTGTGATCAGGGCTGATGGTGCCAATATTGAGTAAAAGATATTGTCAGATGTTAAATCAAATATTTATAATTAAATACATTTTTTGTAAAATCTCTCCTTGTCATAGTTCTTGATAAGGTATATCCAGACACGAGTGTAGCCATTTTTTTGCCACATACTGTACACCATGAAAGGGTTAATGTGATTGTGAGTGTCAGACTGTTGAGAAGTGGGCATACTTTCATACTTAGGAAAAGAAAGTAATGCAGCATCCATGGGAGAGAATGCATAATGAGTATTTAAAACTTGTCCAGCAATATAATACTTTAAACATCAACACAATATAGTTAAACCTCTTTCATGTACCTTTGTCTACAAAAAGGGAAAAATAATGTAAAGACCACCAAATATTGCATGCATGAGGAGCACATTAAAGAAAAATGGACCCACACAGTAAAGGAAACAGCATAAGCTGAACTAAAAGCAGCTCAATATTTATGTGACAAAAAATCGAAGTGGGGATTGCAAGGGGGCTTAAAGATGATATTGGCACCAAGATGCCCAAAGCAGGATCCCATCTTCTGCAGTATTTGATGCAATGATGCTCTTATAAGAACAGTCTATATTCTTCAGAGCACCAAGGAGTTCATCTAGAGTTGGATGCTTTTCATTGGCATATGGCTTGCAGATGGTGCATCTGATGACTTTCATTAAATGAGGCTTCAATCTATGAGGCTCTGTTCACTTTATTTTACTGGGTGTATGGCTGCCTTTTGGGCACAAGCTTTTTCACAACATCCACTGGGACTTGGGTCAGCTGTGATACCTCTTTTGTTGATTTGCCAGTTGCATAGTGGACAATTACTGTGGTCTCTCGAGCTTCTGATGAAGGGCTTTCACTCTATAAACACCACATCTTCAACATGACAATGGGCACACAACCAGCTCAACTGATACCATTGAATTCTGTCATTAATCACAGTTTTTTCTTGCTACCACCTAACATTGAAATCCTCCTAGGCTCAGGTCTCTCAACTCACAATTTAAATAGATACGACATACTGAAGACAGTGACCATGCAGGACAGTACCTAAATACATTCAACACCAGGGGCATGAGGCCCACACAATAAAATTCAAAGGGAAAATGAGATGCTACATTAGATAATGCAATCAATACTCAGTAAAGTGTTTCAAAATGATCTGCCTTCATATGGGTATTAACATTTTTTGCCTATACCTGAACTTATCTGATATCTAACAAGGCAACAAATAAAAAAAATGTAATCGGATGGCAGAATTTTTTAGCATGCTGAAGCAGGATGAAAGGATTTTTCTCTGTAGTGGTTTATCTGGCAATATGAGATTTTGTCATTTGTTCAGCTGATGAGGTCAGGAGTTTACTTCAACTCTTATTGCATCCCTTCCCTTCCCCCCACCCCAAATGGTATTCATGGGACTGGATGGAAAACATGCTCATTTCTGAGTGGCCAGATCTACATGGACAATGGAAGACTCACCTGCTTGATGACAGACCCAGCAACATTTTCCAATTCCTTCTAAAACCCAAATCATATGGATTTTTGTATACCTGTAATTAACAGAAGGCATGTCCATAATGTCCATGATTTAGGAATAAGTGGAAAGAATAGAGAGAAGCTTTTTTTTCATGTAGAGACGAGTTATACAAACCAAGCCAGCAGTTTCAAATTGCTTCCTCATCTGTTTGTTGATGTGAGCTTCAATGGAAGTCTCTCCTCTTGAGATCTGACGTCCATGCGAGTAGGCAAGAAATCCTAGAATCACCAAGGTTCCTGCAAGTGCAAATAAATACAACAAAAATATAGAACACTGGGTCAGGATGGAATTATTGTCACTACCAGGCGTCATGCAGCTTACCCAAACATAAAGAAGCAGTGGAGAGGAGGAGATCAGCACGATGATCATGAGTATTTAGTTCAAGCCCAAAAAGTCCAATCTGTAGAATGAACAAGAGAATAGTCCTAAAATGATGGCACATCCTATTGAAACAAACCAAAATTTCATGACTCACAAAGATGGATTGGAGGAATCCCTTTCGTGCACCTTCTTTCTCCCCATCCTGCCTATCCCCTTTAAAACTGCAGAAGGCCTGCTCCATGAGGATGCGAAAGCCAAACACCAAGATGAACACACAACCCAGACACATGTAGACCATGTAGAGGTAGAAGTAACGATGGTTATAGTGACCAACACAGTTGTTCAGCCATGCTATGAGTCAAGTTAAGGGCATCCTGTTCAAGCAACCTGATTGGAATGAAGTTCCCATTAATTCTTTTATTCCAGTATTTGATAGTCTATATTGCACTAATGACTCATGATCATTGGCTTTGAATGTTCATTGTAACTTACATCATTCACGTTTGAAGTCATCATTTAATTTTTTAATTTGTTCAATGACTGAAGGCAGCAATCTGATCTGGCTTTTTTGAAAAGGGATGCTAAATTTTCATCATCTGAGAAAATTTGAGATAAAGCAATGACGCAATAAAATTCTTGAATGCGTTCTGAACCAGCTACTATGACATTCTTGCTAACAGTCTATCGAGAACATACACACTGTTTCCACTCTTCCTGGCTGTTACTAAAAAAGAGAAATCATAGAGAAAAAGAGGGACAGGTTCCCAGTCCTGTACAGTTGAAGCAAAGAAAATTCTGCATGAGCATTCTAGGTATGCATGACTAAAACACAGAATCAATTCCTTCTTCTCTGAAGAAATGACATATATATGTCACATGCTTTTAACCAATATATATGCAAGGATACGGCAGTGATGATCCATTTTCAAAATGCATCTGTTACACACTGAGCAATGATGAGTACGTGGAGGCTTTGGTGCAATGCATTTCTTGCAAATAGCTGATACTTCTGGAACAGCAGCATCCTGGAAAAAACAGGAGGAATTGGAAACAGCATCAGCAGGTGCAAGGAAAGCATATGGAAAGGACAGTTCTAAAAGCTAAGTTTCTTGGGCATACCTTCCATTTGGGTCTGATTCAAGTATGAGGAAAGAGTATAATGAACCAATCCAAACAAATGGATGTGGATTATCATAGGATTTCACATAGGATTGGCAAAACACTCCAACTACTACTACGGAATGACTGATAGTCACTGATCTGACAAAGGACATTTTTTAATATTCAGTTGTGCAAGAATTTCCTTTTTTTGTATCACAGGATGGGAGTTGAGGAATGCTCAACTTCGCAAGGGGAAGGTGAGAGCTTCAGGTTTTTAGTGGAAAAGTGAATATTCTATAAGAAACAATTGCTAATTCCAGCTATTTACACATTTTCAATGGCCTATTCACCCAACTGTCAGATTGTTGACAATATGCAATGCATTATTCCCACTACAAACATGACACAGTGACTTGCAAATCAATTCACTTCACTTTAAAATTGGGCTCCAGAGGCCATTTCTCATTTTAATCATGAGAGACAAATCCTCACCTTCTTGCTTGCACCTTACTTAATACACCTTAGAAATAACACTGCATAATATAGGAGATAATACAGATTAATTTGCAAGTCTCTGTATGATATCACATAACATTCAAAAGATTATTGTTGACATGTCAATTCTCTCTCATAGCAGGACAAGGATCATCAATCATAAGAAACATATGTTTCAAGAACTCACACATGGAGGATATCCAGGTGATACAAGGACACCCATGGTGAAATGGAAAATGATATTGATCATCAGCCAATATCCAAGAATGATTAGGGAAATGCAGAGTACTGGACTCTTCTCCCAGTAATAAGGGATACCGATCCAGTGAGCAATAAATATCACGAAACCAGTGAAGAACACAACCCCACCTACAAACAACTGAAAAAAGAACATAGGAAAAGTTTACAACTTAGCTTGGAAGGCCTCTGCAGGCTTGTGCATCAGAGATAAGTTTATATTCAGTTCATTTGCAGTTCAGACTGCCAGTCTGAAGGCAGATTTTGGTTTAGTTACCAATAGATAAAACTAAAGCTCAGTTCAGCATAATTTTTTAGCTGTCTGTGCCAACTGAGTGCAATGATGCTGAGTGAAGTGAAACTTTTTAGGAAAAATCAAAGTTCATTGTGAAACCATGACATGATGCTTGGTGAGCCTATGCTAAATTCTCCTTCCCTATGACACTTCATTCTCATCAACCAACCTACAATGGCCTCTACAAATGTCATATGCATTGGCATATCATGTTTATGAGCTGTCTATTGTGCAACAGTGCATGGGTGTACCACAAAATGCAAAGTTCGATTATTATTTTATTGCAGTGGATTAGATAGGATTCAGACACTTAAATTGATGGATCAGACATTTTTATTTGGCTAATACCTTACTGGGAAAATTTGAATCAAATTCACCTCTACTGAGAACCTCTTTCTAGGCTCTTGATTTTTACCTACAGCTGCCTAGCTTGATGCTAGGCCTGTGAACCAAGTAGGCCGAGGCGAAAGCGGGGTTCCGACTCACCCATCCGAGAGACCGACTGAAGCAATTGATGAAGAGGAACACCGGCGTGAGGATGATTTCCAGACCGTATCCCCACCTATCCCCATTCTGGAAGTGCTCATTATAGAAGAGCGAATTGAAATATAGGGCGAGGAGATCCCCCACCTCCTTCCCCATCCCTCCTCCGCCCCAGGACCCCCAGAGGCCACGACCGGGCGCCCCGAGCACGTGTCCCCCGCCAGCTGGCATGTGCGCCGCCATGCCTCGCGCACACCTCGCACACACTTCGCACTTTTGTCCTCTCTCGTAAGCGCCACGTGTACCGTACTTGACGCAAGCCGTAGTTAGCGTCTCCGATGCTTCCTCGTGCATTTCAAGTCGAAGCGAAAATTCGCCTCTGAATTGCCAGGTTGCAAATTCCGTGTGTCCGCAACCGCCCCATGCCCACGCGGCCTACCCTCTCGCCCATTCAGTCAAGACCGGCCCTCGCTCAGGGAAAAAAAAAAAAACCGGAAGTGAGGATTTTCGTGGAATTCGCGCTCGAATTCTGATCTCGTGCATCCTCGGACCGGATCGTCCAATCTGCCTGATGGCCTTGGATAATTGGGGGCGATGCGACCATATTAGCAGGGATCGGTCTGGCTGTCACGCGCAAAATCCCGGTCACGCGACCGCAAGACTCGGTGGACCGTGCACAGGTCACTTCGCCGTTGCAAAACCGCCTGACCATGCGAAGAAAAAGAGATGGCGGATGGGGAAAGACGAGAACGCCCCCAGTTAGCGAGGCTCACCCCTTTGAGTTTCCAGTCGCTTCCTTCTCGCGTTTTTGAGGCGTCTCGAGTGCCTCATTATTCCGGTCGGAGAAGGATAAGAAAGCATGATTCACGTAAAGGACTGTGTTTACCCCCTCCCAGGCCCCCTTAATTGCAGGGAAGCCTCTGACGAGACCGAAAGAGAGGAAACGATGGAGCCGTCGAGACGCACCCGTGGAAATAGCGGGGGCTCACGCACCCGGGCGACCCCTCGTTACGTCAGGGGACACGAGGAGGAGACCTTCCCCGCGCACGCCTCTACCGACCCCGTTCACGCCTCTATCCGCCCCGCCGCGGTCCCCCGGACTCCCGGGGGCAGTCAGTCATGCCCCATGCCTCGCAGCCTGCCTCCAGAAGGGGAACGACGCAGGGAAGCAAGAAATCCACTACGAGTTCAAGGCCGATGGGCAGAGGCTACATCCCAACGGATCCCCCCCGCACCCGACTCCTTTTCCCCCCGTCGAAGCCATCCGTTCCCCGGCGGACCCACCGCCGGTTATCAACCCTTCGTGTCCACGGTGATGCGTGCGCCGAGGAGATAGCCCGAGTCTCACGAACGCTCGCGTGAAGTTCTTCGGAGTGAGACGACAGGGTCGATAACACGAGACTAGGAGTAGGACTCTTAGCACCGCTCGCCCTCGTAATCGAATCCGCGTGAGGAAGCAGAGAACGCTAAAATTAAAGAAGAGTTAATCCTGCGCGCGGCCGCGACGGGAAGCGAAGGCTTTTTTCCCCCCTCCAGTTTTTATAGCATCTCTTTGTTTGAGGCGTAGGGTGATGGGAAGAGGGAAGCAAAGCATTGCTTTCTCTCTCTCTCTCTCTCTCTCTCTCATTCTCCTCTCTCCCTCGTTCGGCCCGATCTCTTCCCCCTCCCCTGCATCACCCCCTCCTCCCCCCCTCCCCCCCCTCCTTCAGCGTTAGCTACATCCGGGACCTTCGGCGGGGCGCGGGTTAGCTTCGCTTTCATGGCTTGCCGGCGTGGTTGGACTTGTGCTGGACATGGTTCGCGTCGTGTTATTGAACTCTCGCTCTCTCACCGTGATGGCCTTCTTGCCCTCGTCGTTCCCGTGGCACCTTCGTGAACAGTGGAATCCTCGGGTGTGCGGTCGGGCTTCGTTCCGTGGGGAAGTGGGGGTCGGCCTTGGCCTACCGGTTGCCTCGCTTCGAGGTGGTCGATTCCGGTCGTTTCTGCCCCGATCGCCGGATCGACGCCCGCGTGCCTGTGGATTATGTGGGGTAGTCCTATGTCGTTTGGCAACATATGCTTTGCCTTGGCACCCTCGCAGTTGTTGGTTCGCCTCGGGACGATTCGATTTTCCTGTTTGGAGCTTCGACCCGCCCCAATTAACAAGAATACTCATTATCCTGGGATCCTTTGATCAGCGAAATCGGCCTCTGCTTGTTAGATTTTGTTTTTAAGCATAAGCTCTAGGCCTATAGCCAATGGAATTCGTCTCGAACGACAGCCGAGTGCCAGGCCTACGATGTGAGTATTTTATTATAGCCTAGCCTATCGCCGGCAGTTGAGGGTCTCCGAAAAGCAAAGCCGATCCGGTCGATGATTCCCCATCTGGGGCTCACGACACATGCACGTGCATTTATACGAATCGCCCCCGAACGGCCCCGTCGTGAGGCTTCCGTAACATTTCCTTCCGTTCACGTGTCAAACGGCACTCGACCCGAAATCGCCCTAATGGAAAGTGGATCGGTGCCACGAATGAGAGAATGTGCGTGCCAAAGCCCAGACGAGATGTCTCTTCGGATAAGGAAACAGGGTCTGCTGTGAACTCGGACCAACTTTTTCAACCCCGAGTCCAGTTCGTATATTTTAAACGCTAATTACATCGTAAAACCCATTTAGGTCTATCCTTATCTGTCGAGGCTTGGTCCACCGGGCCCCAGGGCGAGTTCAAACTTGTTCACTACCAGTTGTCCTTGAGGTAACAGTGAGGCGAAGTGGCAAAGAGTGGCTGGATCCACTTGAAGAAAAAAAAAATTGCTGCCATAAAATTGTGGCCCCCCCGGGACCCACGATTACAGTTTGATTTATTAATCAATATAATAATGGAATACTAATAAGAAGGAATTAGATTCATTGCGGTATAAAATCGATCCGAACTCCCTGTTTATTTGTAACGTTACCGGGATCGGCCAGTCTTCCGGCCTCGTGGGCCCTTGGAACGCCCTTCGCGCCCTCAATGCAGGGAAGAGAGAAGTGGCAGGCCATTAGGTCTTTTTCCGTGCGTCCAGAAAGTCCTTACTTGCGACAGCCCTGACCCCGTGCGTGTGTTTGCCTCGTGGATGCGTCATCGCCCCGCCGCCGTAACGGGGCTAGGCGTAGTGGCTTTTTTTTTTCCTTCCACACACGTGCTGCCGGTCAAGGGAAAGGAGATCGAGGATGGCCCTGTTCGCACGAGGAATCATGGCCGTTCGCTCGCGGGGGTTTCCGGTCGGGGAGAGGAAACGCGATTCCTTCACCCTCCCCCCCTCCCCCACCATCTTCTGTAATCGAGTCCCGGCTCGTACGGTTTCATCGCGGATCCGTCTCGTCGAGCGAGCATGCACTGGAACTCAGTGGTGCGTGAAGCCCAAGATTTTGCTCCTCTCCGGCCGATGTCTCTCAGGAACTGCTGGCCTGTGCTTCCTGTGTCTCACGGGACCTCGGTCGACTGTGTCTCTCGCCTGCATTGTTTTCCTCGTCCCGAGGCGGAAGCCGACGTGTCGTCTTCGAGGAAAAGTCGCGGCTTTTTACGTCGTGTGTGGTTATATAACGCGCAATGGGGAGATGTGTCTCATGCGTTATCGATGCTAATATGGTCCCGCCTAGAAAATGGTTATTTTTTTTCCCCCTCCGAGCTCCCATGATTTATTCATGAAGCCGATGTTTGGATTACCGTTACGCTCAAGGAGTTCTCGAGAAGATCGGCATTTCATGTCATCAGCGCAAGGCTGCAGTGCATGCATATTGCGGCGATAGGCAGTCACGTGGCCGCATTACGGGATCCGATATTGAAATCCGTAGGAGTGGGCTTAGCACGCGAGACAATAACAGGTAAGAACGAGGAATGTGCGGCGCCGATCCGTTCGCCATCATCGCCGTGCGTGCGCGTCCCCGTGGTCCGTGCGTGCGCGCGAATGCATGTCTGTGTGCATGTTTGCAGTGGGAGCAGGGAGCGTGAGAGGTAATGACACCGAGGACGAGGAAAAGAAAGAGAGGCTGGCCTAGCATGGATGGCATCAGCGCACTCTCATCTGCCCCTAGCCGACAAGGATTGGCTGCCTGTCATCCCTGCCCCTCTCTTTCCTTCTTTTTTTTTCCCCCCCCTTTTTCCTTCGCCCCATGAGAGATTCCTTCCCGCTCATCTCCTGTATCGATTCGGACGAACAGACCGACTCGATTCGCTTCAGCTATCTTATTTAACCCGAAGACACTGCTGCCGAGACCTCGTCGGGCCTAATGGCCGATTCCCACTCGGCCATTCCGTGCCACCAGGTTTTTTTTTCCACAATTTTTCCGCCCCGCCGCGTCTGCGCGGCGCAGGACGAGGCCTGGATGGGAGCCAGACTGTCACACCTGACAGCCACGACTCGTCCGATGGGATTACCCCCGGGTCGGTTTCGGGAAGGGAGAGGATTTCCTGAGTCCCACGACCCGGAGAGGACTCTCAATCCGGGAGTCAGTCATGGCTCCGAGTCTCTGACATGGTCGGCGATCGGCGCAAGGGCTTTAGGTAGGGTCTCGTCTTGTTCCGCTCCCGAAATTGTTCATGATTCACTGTGTTTCATACTACATTCCTTCCATATATCGCTCTCTGTTAAAGTGGTGATTCTCGTCGGCGCGAACCGGGTCTTACCGAGACCCGGCTTTTCGGGTAGGCCTAGGCCTGTCCAACCGGACAGTAGGCTAACTGTAGGATAATGAGGAACAAACTAGTTGCCTAGGTCTTTGCCTCCATTATGCTAAGATCTGATTGTTATCGAGTGACCATTTTTACTTGTACGTTAATGAGTGGGTGATTCGCATTGTGCTTCTTTGACTCCGACATGTGCGCATGGGAAGTGCCCCTTGCGGCGATTGTCCGAGCCAAGTTTTCAGCGAAAAACACACAAGTTCCGTTTAAAACGATGAGTTTAAGCCCTTCCCCGCCGTGCATGTAGCCACTTCGTTGTTCGCGGCATACTGTCACGAGCGCGCTTGGAACGTTGTAATAACATTTAGCATTCTCTGCCGAATGGGGCTACGGTAATTGCCGATATGCGTAATGTGTAATGCTCGTGATACCCGTGGCACATTACGCATACCGGCAATAATACATGGATTGTGGTTTTATTAGAACTATGATTATTAGCCGGTTCAAAGGGAGGGAAGCAGTTGGTGCAAGTAGGAACTGAAAAAGTTACAGATAAGAGAGTTGGCCTAATGGACAAGACAAATGAGCCAGCATTTAGCCTTTAGACCTTGCTTTATGACTAAGGCTGGACTGTGGATTGGCGCTGACATGTATACCTGGTGGGGTGAGCCAAGGTTATGTTTAAAGGGTTGGGGAGTTTGGTATTACACCTTGACCTAAGGAGTTAATAGGCTTCAAGATGTTTACACTTGGCAATCCTTCCTAAACTTTGTATCTTTGGCTTATATTGGACCTCTGCTTTTGTCTAGGTAGATGTAAGACTTAGACTTAACTTATTCCTTATTCACCCCTAAGTGCCAGGTAGGTTGTGCCTGTTCACTATGTCTATTGTGGTGCAAAGAAAAGTGAAGCCCTACAAGAGAGAATGTAAGAGGGTGGGAGAAGCAGCATGTAGGAGTAAACTGGGTTGGCTTAAGGTTGTAATGGAACAATAGGAGAGGAGTTTTATGCAAGTAAGCCTGCTGTAGTTTTTTTTAAGTTTAATTTTTTTATTCAGACGACTCTTGTATCTGTGTTTAGGCATGACTCTTTCTATATGGGTTTTGGAGTTTATTAAAATGAAACCAGGGGCAGTTGAAAAAGAGTAAATTTCAACTAATGCAACCTTCTAAATGCAATACATATTCATTTATAACTAGTTGACATATGCACAAAAATTATTAGCAAATCAAGTAGGTCTAGGACATGTTTGATTAGAAGATTCAGGTGTTGGAATTACACCATTTTATCTAAAAAGTAATCACTTGAGAAACAGCAGGTTAAGACAGACTCATCAATCTTTCATCACCTTATTAAGGCTCTTGCAAGAGTCCATATGCATTGTCCACTGTTCTAAACAGCTTTTCTCAAGTACAGAAAATGCCCTGTTCATAGCATGAACATCTGAGGGTGAAAGAGGAAAGAAAGTTCTCAATCCTCTTAAGGAGCTCAGGGGGGTGCTTTATGTAATGTTGGGAATTGAATATTAATCAATACTAAATAATAGATTACCAAAGAAAAAAGGGCTCCATGTCTTGAATAATTTCATGTGTTTGTATTTGTCCCACCTTTTAATGTAGGCTATCCCCCATAGTTGAAAGCAAAAGATATTTATTGTCTTGGTGGTCTGGAAGTATTTCATGATTCTGAGCTTAATGGCTTTTGCTCCTTGGAGCATTTTTCTTAACTATATTTTATGCAAATGAGCATATTAGCATCCCCAAACATCCATGGGAGGTAGCTTTGTAGATATGCAAAAGTTGTGCACTCGTGCCATTTTTTAGAAAGATTCATGAAATTGCTTTGTTGTATGTTTGTGGCAGGAGAGAGTTGTTATACATTATACTAAACAGGCTTTAATGCTCTGTGCTTGAACTGTGGCTTAAGCAATGGTTCAAGAATGGCAGGAGCTCTTGCTTTTCCCTTTAATTGCTCATAATTTTATGTTATAGTCACTGTGAATACCAAAACTTTGTAAAACTCTTGTTTTCTTTGAGCCAGTGTACACCAAAAGGCAATTTTTATAGGTGTCTTAAGTTCCTTGCCACAGCACTCCTGGAGGCAAAATTACACCTTTTTTTTATTGGCTATCCACATGAAATTTGAAGGGCTGAAAGGTAAAGTGGTCTATCTGCAAAAATTTCCTGAAAAAAATGTTCCTGGTTTTGTGCTTATAGAACATTGTTCCTTTCATTGCAAATTATGGTTTTTTGGAACTAAGTTAAGGAGGAAGTGATCTATCGATACATACCACTTTTTCTCACTTTTAACAAGGTGGTCACTGGAATATTCACTCTTTCCATGCAGAGCTCCAGGAAACAATTTTTTTTGCTGATAGACTACTTTGCCTTCCAGCCCTTCAATTGTGGGAAGAGTCCCAATAAACTATATTTTTCCTGGAAACTCATGGCATACTTCAGAATAGGAGCCCATGACTTTGATCTTTTGGATGATGTTTTCATGGAGTTTCTAGTTTTTATTACCCTCACCACCATAGATCCGCCGTTGAAGGACCAGTAAAAGGAACCCAATTTTCCTATAAGTCAGCCCAAGACTGCTTAATTGGCAAAAAGAATTAACTTATTGCTAGGCCTTGGCTTGGTATAAGTTGTGTGATTTTAGGGCTTTGAGTTCTCATTTGTTTTATTTCTTCATGTTTCAGGTATAGCTGGTCATCAAAGGCTGGAAAGTCATGGTGCTGTGAATGATGACATGAATTATAGATAGCATATTCTATCTGCTGTACTACCTGATGGTGAAAGACTATCCATGTATTGACAGAAGTGTTCAGAAACAATTGAATGTGAAAAGATATTCCAGTGAGTTCCCTCTGTGTTAGGTCTGTATGCTGTGCTGTGTGCATGTGTTAGGTCTATTTGCAGTATAATGCACTTTGTGCCATAGCCTAGAGGCCATTTTCTCGTCATCCAAAATTCAGGCTACAGCCTGTCTGGACATGTCTTTAAACAGAGAGTAGCTATTCAGGATGCAGGAGGATCAAAGCTCTTCTCACATTCCAGTTAGATCTAGAAACTCAACTATGAAGTTTCCATAGGTTCATACAAACTAATAATTTTCTACTTTTTTGCATCCATTAATGTAGTTTGGTAGTAAGATGAGATAAAAAAAAAGTTGAGAGAAGCACAGGTTTTTTTTTTTCTTGCAGGGACTGCATGATTTCTTGATCTCAAGTAGTGGAGTAGCAATGTAAGCCAGAGTTGGCCCTTATAACTTTTTTCAGATCAATCTCAAGCACTTAGTCTATTGCCTGAGATATGTCACACATACATTGTATATGGGGTTTAGAAGTCATCATAATTTGTGAGCACACTTGTGGTGCAGCATTGCTGTGTAGATATCTTCTTGCTCTGTACACTGACAGCACTGAAACATTACACTACCTTTCTGGTGTGAGGCCAAATTACACCCATTTAGTGAACCAGGAGGATTCCCTGTATTGAAATAGAATCCTTCCACTTCAGATGCCTTGAGACAATGGATATCTTTGTAGATCTGGATGAAAGTGGGCATAAAATGGAGTTATTCAATGATAGATCATTTTTTCTCTTGCCCACTGATATGGAATATCTGCAAGAGGGAAGGGAAAGGGCTAGAAAATGCTTATCATTGTGGTTGATGGAATTGGGGATAAGAGAGTCCTCTAGCCTTTGGCATATCTTGGCTGTTGGCTCTGAGACAGATGATAAGGAAAGGAGAGGGGCTCACACTAACCCTTTTGGCAATGTATGAAGGACTGTCCAGAAGTAATGTCATTGGTCCCTGCTCTGGAAGTGAGAGCAGGTATCAAAATGCAGTTGCCCTTGTTGAAGTGGGGTTATTGCCTGAATATCCTGCCACAGGCTTGCATTATTCATTTTTGAAAGGACTCTCGATATCTTAGACCTGAATATTGCACTCTAAGTATTGATATTTTTCTAGTAAATATGAAAATTTGAAAGAAGACTGACCCAAGGAGACTTATGACATATTTTTTAAAGGTAGGTGGGGAGAGTGCTCTTCAAACTTGAAATGTTTGCACTTTTCAACATTGAGTGAGAAGGGAAGGGAGATAGGAATTGTCTCATAAAGTGAAGTAAGGCTGTTCCATCTTCTATCCCATCTTTGAATTATTCACTCTAACTTACGAATTTCTCATTATTAAAGAGGACTATTCCCATATATGTAGGGAAAGAGATCTATTTTATGTCTCAGAATGGGATTGAAAATAAACCTGTCATTCTGGTTGAAGACATATCATATGCAACCATGAAGTGTATGTTACATACTTCATTGTCCTGATGTTATTATGCTTGCAGTTGTGATCTGGCTCCTCTCTCATGTCGGCATCTCCTGTGATGGATAAAAGAAAGTTACTTCACAAGAGGCCCCGCTTGGATGGTGGGTTGGGGCCTCGAGGTCCCATCTCCAATGGGCCTCTTCATGCCCGCCCACTTGTGGCCCTCCTTGACGGTAGAGACTGCTCCATCGAAATGCCATTTCTAAAAGACGTGGCCACTGTTGCATTCTGTGATGCCCAGAGCACCTCAGAAATCCATGAGAAGGTAGTTCTTGCATTTGATACTTTTTCCATTGAATAAGCCAGTGTTATTTGTGGGTAAAACTGGTTTATTGTTTGACCTAGTTTGCTCATGAAGCATATGTACATTGGAATTGAATTTCATGGAGTGATAGCAGCATTCATTCAGATACATCTGGGTGAACCTTTGAACCATGTATGGTTCTAAGTTGAACTTGGATTAATCATCCTCTGGTCTTCATTCCTTCCTCAGGTGTTGAATGAAGCTGTTGGAGCTTTGATGTGGCACACCATTACGCTTCACAAGGAAGACCTGGAAAAGTTCAAAGCCTTGAGGATCATTGTCAGGATTGGAAGTGGTGTAGACAACATTGATGTTAAAGTGAGTTGCCTTGTACTCATTGCTATTGTCAATACTGTATTGTTAGAATTTGGGAGAGATAAGGGCTGTATTTAAATTGGGACAGTCCCTGGCTGATTACCATTTATGATCTCGCATCAGTTAGTGTTTATGCTTACTCTGTCAGATAGAGGAAGGAGAAATCATTGTTATTTATTATTTCTTTATAATATTCATTGTTAGTAACTGTTCCCATACCACCATATGAGGTTTATGACACTTTACTGGTTTTTTTTTTTTTTTTTTTGGGGGGGGGGGGGGGGGGGGGGAGAAGCACTGTTAAGCAGATATTAATGTGACTGGGTGCCAATGCACTGTCTCTAGCAGAGACTGAATGAGTCATTTACTAATTAAAATTAGATAATTTTTTGCTGAAAGGGGATGCCAGAAACTTATCATTTTGACCCAAGAGTACAAATCTGAGGCCCTTGGCTTATATTTCATTGCAATAGAGGGGAACATGAAAATCTTAGATATTTTGTTTGATAGAGGCTAGAAGTACCTGTTTCTTTTCTTTAAAGAAAAAAGGGAAACCAGGGTATTTACATGGATGCATGCTCCTCTTTTCTTTTTTTTTTCCCCAGGGGGGGGACCTTGTTTCACCAGTTTGAAATCTACTGATGGTCAATGATACAGCTGATTTCATATCAATAGCAGATTCTGGTGATGTTGATGTTTTTGTAGAGCTCATGCTAGAATGTTAGTATCCATCTTCTATTCTGGAGCATTTATCTTGCCCTGGAGCCTAATGAAATGAAGTAATGATACTTATTTACAGTAATTTCAAAGTTGACCTGGAAATGGAAGAAACTAATGCAATGCAATACTTTATTTCTAAATGAAGCTTAAATTACAAAATTATAGGCCTCACATCTATAGTAATGTGAAGTCTTGATCATGCTGGAAGGTGATTCTTTTTGCTGTTTTCTGGAACAGGCTGCAGGGGAATTAGGCATTGCTGTCTGCAATGTTCCTGGATATGGTGTGGAGGAAGTGGCTGACACGACCATGTGTCTCATTCTAAATCTGTATCGGCGAACCTATTGGCTAGCCAACATGGTAAAAGAGGGGAAGAAGTTCACAGGACCTGAACAAGTGAGGGAAGCTGCAGCTGGTTGTGCTCGCATTCGTGGAGATACGCTTGGCATTGTTGGTCTTGGTGGGTCCTTCTTTACCTTTTCGAATTTTTTCTTACTTTGATCAGACTGGATTCATTTTCCCACATGATGCTGGAAGAGGGTAAGATGGGATAGGAACACTGCCCCCATAAGTTGAGACCCTTGAAGAAGATGAGTCAAGGAATTTCTGTGAATGGCTGGTAGGCTGAGCTGGAGGCACTGTTCAAGCTAGTAATATATATGGATTCAGTAAAAAAATGTACAATATTTCTTTGCTTTTCCACTACTGCCTGCAACTTAGAATCTAAACTGGTATGCTTCTTGCTGAAGCCCCTTTAAAAAAAAATAGATGAGTCATAAGTATTAGTGGCAAATGTTCTGTTTAAAACTTAAGAAAAGAGCCTCAGCTTTACTAGGAAATCATTTGCTATGCTTTTATAGCTCTTGATCTGTTACACAAAGGTTAAACATAGAAAAAGTGCAGGTACAAAAGTAAGCCCCTTTTTTATAGTGGAACTTTTTTCATAATTAATATTTAAAAATTACCATAAGTGGAGAATCTTGAAAGCAAACTTTTTTTTCTGCATCATGGCTCTTTTGTTAACTTCATGTGGTCAATGCAATTAAGGCTAGGTCAAAATGCCCTATATTCATGAGAACTATATCAATGAATTTCCCATGTTGATGTTTGTAATGTTGATATCTGTATTCCACTAATGAAAAAAATTATTCTGTCAAATCCAGGGAGGATAGGGTCGGCAGTTGCCCTGAGGGCCAAAGCATTTGGGTTCAATGTGACTTTCTATGATCCCTATCTTCCTGATGGTATTGAGAAGAGCTTGGGGCTCACTCGTGTCTACACCCTTCAGGTTTGTTTTGCTTCTTTCTGAAGATGAGTGGAGTATAATAAGTACAGTATAATGAAGCCAGTAGCAGCAGTGGTGTCTGAGTTTATTTGTCTATGTCATGTATTCTCCCCTAGGAACTACTGTTCCAGTCAGACTGTGTGTCCCTCCATTGTACCCTGAATGAACATAACCATCACCTGATCAATGACTCCACCATCAAACAGATGAGGCCTGGTAAGTTGTTGATACCAGTATAATACTGCCCTCATCATGGTCCTTTTAAATAATTTTTTTCTCAGTAGTAGCCTTTTTTATCTTCATGTAAATGAAGCAGAAAGCAATTTTCTCAAATGTATGGGCTGTAAGAGCCACTTTCATTTGATCTCTTTGTTGGTTTTTTTTGTTCCTTTCACCTGTTGATTCATCTCTTGACCTTGATAATCACTAGCTATATTTAACCAAGTTACGAGGTTGCTCCATTATTATTTATCAAAGTTTTTATTCTTTGACACATGGCTGCCCTTTCTCCAAAATATTGATGCTCAGTTTTAGTATATGTGTTGGCTTTGGCTGTGACAGCAGCTGCCTGTATGCTTGCAACCCTTTTTATACTTGAAAGTTTTTATCTCACTTACTTTGATGAGTGCACCTGTTTACTATCATGCATTTAACAATGAATGACTAGTTTTTTCCATTTTTCTGCAGGTGCATTCCTGGTGAACACAGCTCGAGGAGGGCTTGTAGATGAGGCAGCTTTGGCTTCTGCCCTGAAGGAAGGTCGGATCAGGGCAGCTGCACTTGATGTCCATGAGAGTGAACCTTACAATATCAATCAAGGTAAAGCCTTAGACTGGGTTTCTTTATAACATCACAAAGGATAGTTGACTTCTCAATGGTATTGACTGCAGTTGAAGTCACCATGTGCAGTTGAAACTTGAAATGGGTGCCGGTATAGCATGCACTCTACCTTGACATTCTCAGTATAGTGTGCACTCTACCTTCCCTGTATGCTTTTTTTGGGTTTTCACTAAACCCAAGCACACCACATAAGAACTAACTATAAACACATACCAAGGGAGCTGTATTCCTTTTTTTTGTTGGGCTGAAAGAGTGAGAAAGTCTAGCTATTTTGGAGGATGATGGGTCAGTTGGGTTAGATTAGGGTCATGGCTTACTTATTTGCTCCCAAAGGCATGGTAACAGATTCTAAAGTCAACCCCCCTTGCCATCTCTTTTTGGAAAAAATTTTTTTTTAAAGATCAATTCATTAATTTCCATGTTTTCCCTAAATCCCTAAAATCCCTAGATCCCTAAAAAATTCTCAAATCTAAATACACAGATAGTGATTTTCATAACGCATTTAGCAGGATATGCGATGGTAGTCTGTCGATTAGATGCATTGTCAAAATGTTTAGTGCCCCTAAAATTACCCCATCTACTAAAACCAATGGTGCCAGATGCCCATCGGAAAGTCAATATTGGGCTTTGCTTGTGCTGTCCACAGAGAAAGAATCAATGTTGGCCAACTGCATCAATGAGTATTCCATTGAGTGATGTAGTCTTACCAGTTAAACTTTTCAAAATCAGAAACATTTTAAGCATGAGGCCAGCATTGTAAATTTGCATCATATGGACGAAAAGACACTTTAAGAACTACCTTTTTTTGGCAAAGAAGTTTCTTGATAATTGAGGAGCAACTAGGCCATCTACTAATAACTTACCAGAAGAAAGATATCTCAAATTATTCACGAAGTGGAGGCCTGAGATCATCAAAAAGGAAAGGGTTTTGGCAACAAAAAGGGAAAATTTTAGTCTGGATTAATGAATAAAATGTTTTTTGAGTGATCAGATCAATGTCTCGTGGACTTCATTGGAGAATGTGCACCGAGTTTCCAACTGTATTGAGTTTGGCTTTACCAAAATGGGTGCGAATGTAGCTGTGCATGCCAAAAAATGTGTGAAGAATGAGTGATTTTTCTTTCATTTTCTTCTCAGTAAAGATATATAAAGCTGTTGCACACTTTCCATGGTTATATCTTCTCATAAGGCCTATCCATGTTCATGATTGAAAAACTGGTGTCATCCCTAAATACGAGTGTCCACAAACTGGAACCAGATCATCCACAAATGGGAAAAGTGTGAAAATCCCCAAATAGTCACTAAAATACCTTTTGTTGGAAAATTATGCAATCAATACTAAATTTTAAAGTTTGGTTATATTGCTATAAAAAGTGACCTCATATTGAAACCAAACTCACAGTTCTCTGGTGGCTCCAACCACCTTAGTACAATTTCAAAGATAAAAATTGTCTTAACCTGTCCACAAACTGGTGCCTTTACCCTATATAGAATTTGTCTCCACCAATTGCCACAATTAAGGGAATTCTTCATAGGCCATCACAAGCTGTTACACCTGTTGCATTGGGAATGAATCCACTTTGAACCTTCAACTTATTAAGAAGAATGAATGGGAGAGATCAATATTAAGTTTATTGCCTTTATCTGGGGGTGGGGGGGGAGTACCCAGCAGTAAGTATTAGTCATTCACGCAGTGTGTACAAAAATGTGAATTTGTAGTTTAGTTGCTTTTGCCTCACCTTTGGTATGTCTTAAGTTTTAAATGATAATTTCATTAGAATTAAGGTTAGTGTGGCATCAGTTGGATCCTTTAGCCTTGAAGTGATGTGTTGAAGTGGATATTAATTCCTTTGTAGTTCTGAGAGCATTTTAGATTGCAGAACAAACAGGATATCCAGAACTTTAGAAAGTTATGTTGCCCAAAGTGTGCATATGAAACTGATTCATACCAATTCATGCATCCAAGATTTGAAAAGCACTCTTCCAAGTAGTCATTTGCAGTTTTGTTGCATGTTGGCCATGATCAATCAAGTGGCATCTGATTGAAGATTGTGCTCAGTGATTCCTTGTGTTTTATGTTTCAGGACCTCTGAAAGATGCACCAAATCTTCTGGCCACACCTCATGCTGCATTCTTCTCTGATGCTGCCATCACAGAACTCAGAGAAATGGCTGCCAATGAAATTCGTCGTGCTATTGTTGGACGAATCCCTGATTCCCTTCGCAACTGTGTCAACAAAGAGTATTTCATGCGTGAGTTCCCATCTTTTGTGCTTTTTGCTCTAGTTACCCTATGATCAACTGAAGTTTGGAGAAAACTCCCATTGAAGTGGGAAATTCTCCTAAAGGAGACTTGAGGGTGAATCCAAAGTTGTCCCCTGATATTATCTCATTAGTATGTTTCCACTACTGAGGACTTGTGTGGATAAAGGAAGGTATACCATAGTCCTGTTTTCCTCCTGCAGGATAGGAGTGTAAGGCGTTTGGAATTGGTCATTGGTGATGCATTTCTGTATCAATTAAGAACAAAAAATGAACTATTGTATCATGGTAAAGTTTTAATGAGACTCAGAAGGAATAGGATGGGATTGTTAAAAACATGGCTTTTTCCCACATCTGGTTTGTGAAGTGCTTGGCTGCAGAGAAGGTGAAAGGGATCATTGACCTAGATAAACCAAACATGATTGGAGTGGGGATGGATGACATCACTCTGCTCGTGGAGTCTATTTGCCCTGGAATACATTACTGATAGTTTTTCTCAGATGTAACCAATTTGTTTTTGGCAGTTTCATAAATATGAGTGAAAGAGTCTGAGGATGTCTATAGGAAAAAATGAAATTACTCAACCACAAGGCCAGATTGTGGCTGCAGTGCTATAGACATGAGAAGTTTGATTTCTACAAACATTTCTCACTGATATACTGATTGGGGACATGGGAGAACTTATGGAAAATCAATAAGAATCATAGAAATGAGAGCTATGAGGACAGTATCAATTAAAGACAGTTGAATGGCTTCATCCTTTCTTCATTTTCTCTCTTCACATTGGGAAATTGCAGCTCAATCATATAATTGTTGGTTTTTGCAAAAAGGGATCAGACTTTGGAAATTTTAACCAGTGAAATCTATTTCTTTCCCTGACTCCCTGGACCATTCAACCTCTGCTGTATATGACTGGAGAAAATGCAGACATGCACAAATTAGTCAGTCTATCATGGTATTAGTCTATCAAAAATGTACAATGTTTCTATGCTTTTCCACCAATGCCTGCAACTTAGAATCTAAACTGGTATGAACAGAAAGGATTATTGTTGGCACACATATGTTTGGTACATATTTGCATCAAGTTTGTTGTAGGCCTCAATGTAGGTTATGTTTTACTCTTGAAAGCTGTAAAGGAAGCATAAATGATGTTGATTGTGATGTGTTGGTGGGGAGAACTGAAACTGAACAAGAAAGCTGAAAAGTTGAAAAAATTTTGCTTGCTACCTATAATTTGTACTAATCTGTAAGGTTAGGAAGCAAGTTCTTATGTCTTAGCCATCAGGCAAAACACAATCATGAAGCAAGACATCTTTGAGCTAATAGTTATTTCAAAAATATTTGCCTGTCTTCAATTTTCTCCCTGTTTACCTCATTTCATCACTGTTAATTTTGTTGCTGGTAAGGATTGCAGTGAATATTGAACACACAAAAGGTCCTTCTATGTGAGCAGCTTCCTCCTGGTAGCTGACCATTCAGCTGTAAAAGGAATTATCAGAATCTCTGTTCCTCAAACATGCATAGCTTTGTGAAGCTCTTAATTGACATTGACACAAACCAGTCGATGACAATGTTTTTTATCATTTCACTGTACTGAGATTATTATCCTCCTCTGACCTTGTCTTACTTTGTTAGTTATTTTTGTCATAGAAAATTAAAGAGAAGCCCAGAATACAACCTGTAGTGCCCGTGAAGGTTGATGTAACATGACATCTCTTGCTGCAGCATGAAAACACATTAAAGCATTGGAGGCATGTTGTTATGTTTTCTCTTGATGGGAGATGCTGTGGGAAGTCCATAAAAACAAATTAATTCTGTAACTTTGCCAGGAGAAAACCCTCAATTAGAAGAAATGCAGGCACAATGCAATCTTTCAACTAGATTTTCTACTTTACCTCTTGGGTAAGACATAGACTTCCCACTTGTCCAGTATTTAACTGGACACACGTAACTTTAAAAATCTATTGGGTTATACTCCTGTGTGGTCACCTTAGATTGTTGTCATGCTCAATCTAGTTTAAAAAGGGGTTACTGAGTCACAGAGCAGAAGAAAAGTAAGAAAGTTATAAAGCATCTTGGAAGTTGCCCAAACATCTTAAAACTTTAACTCTTTGTGGGTTTTTTTTCAATGCTCCCACATTGCGTTGGGGTGTATTTTTTTTGCATGAAATTCAAGGCTAGAAAGAAAGGTTTTATTCATTAATGCACCAGGAGCCAGGGTAGGTTTCATATGACTCCAGAGTGGTGGAGTCATGGTGGTGTGGAATTTTTACTGATGTAAATGCTTGTCAGAGGGTTAATATCCTGTTAGAAAATGAGCATTGGATATAAAGTATTTAAAAACACTTTAATTTTAAAAAAATGGACCAAGATATACAAAAGTATGTTTCAACTTAGTCTTGTCTCATATCTGGTGAAAAGGGTTGCATGCCCAAATGCCACTCTTTTAAGGCTGCCAGATGCTGGCTATCTTTATCTTTGGGACTGGGAATCAGAAGAGCCTCTGGTCTTCACTGCACACATTTGGTGGATCTTGGAGACCTTCAGAGGAAAATGTGCAGAATGTTTTTTCTCCATGTGCTTTCTGACAGTTGATCTGCTGACATCATATATCTGCCTATGCCTTCCCTCCCTGCCTCCTTACACATCCTCCCCCTATTCCCTGATTCCTGTATGTTGCAAGATGTGTTGTCTAATTTCATTTGTGAAGATGCTCTGTAGCTCATGTTGTGCATGGTGGTTTCTGCAGCTGGAGGTCCATATGGAGATGCACTGAATGGGGCATCAGCAGCAGCAGCAGCTTCAGCATTCCTCAATCCTCCCCTGAGCTTGGCTGCTCATTCCACAACACACCCGGGAGCGATGGCAATGCCTGAAACAGATCGAGATCGAGTGTTGAGCAGTGTTCCGACGAGTCTCTCGACGGCAGTACCTCCTCCACAAGCTCCAGCCCCTCCGCCTCCACAGCCAACCCAGCCTCCTCACTCTGTAGCAGCCGCTGCCGCTGCGGCTGCCGCCGCCGCTGCCGCCCAAGGCCAACAACTTCCGCTTAACCCGCATCTGCAGGTACGTGTAGGGAATCCATTGGAGGCACTGTCCTCTACTTCCTGGCCCAATAGAGCCAGGCTCCTCCCACATTCCTCTCTACAATAGCTGCTCTCTGTTATGAGGCCATGCTTAGTTGACTGTAGGTGCAATGAACTTGTGTCTCGTGGGCACTGGCTGTCTGTGTAACGTGCAGACTCATTGTTCAAAGTGCAATATGCGGGGAAAAGAAATTGTCTCATGGGTTTATTGGTATCGGTGGAATTTCATGCGATGTGACCTTATAATACAGATGGTTTCATATTTCTTGTCTGCTGTCATTTCGGTTTATGGTAATATTTTCTTTGTTGAATTCCATATGCTGTGTAATTGTAGTTAGGAGGAAGTGTACAGCCTAACTGGAAGGCTTGTTGCCAAAAATCAAACTGGAGGAGTCATATCTTCTAATTATAATGCAAGTAACAGACTTTGTTGCCTTCCCTCTGATTGAGAATTATTTCCATGACAGGAAAGCCATTCCATGCTTGACACTTCCATAAGTAATGTTGAGGTTATATTTTGCCAGCATATTTATTTTTTATTTTTTTACATGTAACTGACAAGTGAAATCAACACCAACATTTGCTATGGAGTTTCCCCTGAAAGACTCTTGGACATCCTAAAGAAGTACAATCACAGGGCAGAAGTGGATTAAAATAATAAAAAAAGCATGAAGGAATGTGTATTCAAAAGGAATGTGACCAACTTTTAACTTCGAAAACCAACATAAATGGAGCCCAACTGGGTTTGATGGGCAAGTAGTTTCAACCTTCCAAGCCATACTAAAGAGGTAGAGGGATTGAGTCAGGTCAGCAGTGGGCTCTTCTCTGCTTGCAGGCAGTGCCCCTTCTCTGTGGGGAGTATCTACATAGCATCAGTTAGGCACTCACCACTCAGTGTGTAACTAGGAGATACAGGTGCAGTACACCTTAAAAATTCCTCATGCCAGTCATTGGCCTAGGCAACCTGTGAGCTGCCTTAAAGCCACCAACAGGACCATGGAGGGGCATCCCTACCTGGGGGACTGAGATTGGGTGTGGTTCCTGTGCCAAGTTGGCACCCCCTTACTCTGTGTATTGCAATATGTCCTTTGTTGTACATGTCAGCTGCATGTCCTGCTTGTTTTTGAAGTAATTATTGTAATGAGTAGGACCTTTGTCTCCAGGTAACAAATTGTTACCCTTACTAGCCAAGCTTTTCGCATCCAGAAGTACACCATTCCAGAAAAAGAGTGATTGAGAAGCAGCCAACAAGATGAACATTTCCATCTCTAATTAAATGCCTGAAAGAATTTATTTGCAATTTGGAGCAATGAAATGGAATGGGAAAGAGGAATGTCTGCATGAGAACCTTGAAGTGCTATTTATTTTTTTTAGATGGGCTATCAGAAGATGCAGCATACTTTATCAATGCATTAACCCTGTAGGAGTTCATATGTTCCACTTCTGTCCTTGTGTTTGTTCAGCCTGTTTTTTTTTGTAGCTCCTACTGGTATCTTCCCAAGACACCTCAGAAGTAATTCAGGATATAAAAGAGTTCAAAACAGTTTCCATTGGTGGAGCAGTATTTCTCCCCAGTTGATCTTGGTGCACGATCAATGTGTATGTATTTGCATGAGACTGGCATGGCACTGGTCTTAGTAGTTTTGGGGAGGGGTATTTTCTCATAGAGCAGGTTTGTTGGGATGTCTAGTGGTGGCTACAGACTGACTGTGAGTTGTTTGTGTTGGTTTCTCTCTTGCAGCCTCATAGCACGCAGGAAACTTCGAATCACATCACGTCGAAGGCAGAGCCATCGGAAGTTCATTAGCGAGCGGGACGTGGCCGTGGTGTTCTTGGGGGAAGAGTGTCTGTCCCTTTGTCTGATTGCATGAGTGGGAAGAGAGTTGAATTTGGGGGAGAGAGAGAGAGAATGAGAAAAAGCATCATCTGGAATGTGTGCAATAGGCCTTGGGACAGGACATTGTGAGAACGAACGTGAAACAGACAAAAAAATTTTTTACGGAATCACAGTGGAAGGAGAGAAGGACGTCTCAAGATACTCAGCTCAGGAGTGACAGGGGAAAAGGAAAATATTGCTGCAGAAAAGAGAAAAAAATCACGATTGTGAAACTGTGGACGATGAAACAGATACTGCAACAAAAAAAAATGTTCTCAAGCTTCACGATTGTCATCCATCATCTTCATTCGCGACGATCCTCTGTCCATCTCAATGATCCTTGTCCATCTCGACTGTCCCTCCTCGTTCTCGCTCTCCCTTCTCGCCTGTTCCCGTCTCCTTCTGCTGTACCCCTCTCGTCTTGACTGGAAACTACATCTGATTTTTCTATTTTTATTTTTTTGAAGTGGAAAAAAAGTGACAAATTCTAGTGGTTGTCCCATTTTTGGAATGTAATCATGGCCGAAACAGTGATTCTCTTTTTTTTTTGTCTCTTTCTTGTACTCTGGTGGATTGCTGTCTCCATCATAGTACAATGTGTTTGTCAATTCTTGTGTTAGATATTAGTAAAAAGGAGGAAAGACAAACACCACGCGTGAATTTCATTTCGTCCCCAGTTCGAGCATGCCTTTCCTTGCATGAAACCTGAGGGATTCGAGAATTTTCACATTTTGTCTTTGTTATCGGTCGATGTTGTCAAACTTCCCAGGGGGGACCATTTGGCTGATTTTTTGCACGCATGAAAATCCGGCAGGAGTTGAGCAGAATGAACCATTTTTTCCCCCTCGGCACCTGTCTACCCAATTTCCTTCGTACGAGCATTTTTTTTGTTGCAAACGTCTGTGTGGATTTTTTGGATGGACATTCGTATAAGCATATGTGCAAGGATCAATGTGAACATTTGCAGGGTGAAGCGTTATGCAGCAGCCCAGCTTGATCACCATAATGCCGTTCACAGGTGGATCGGTCGATCCCCGCCGGCATCCGGCCATTGGATCCCGTCGAGATCGATGGATCCGAAGAATCTCGAGGTCGACACATCAGGCTGCTGGGATGCCCTCATCCCAGGATGTTCTCATCCTTGATGAGATTTCGATTGAGGCCGACTGCCTGCTTGACTAGACTGGACGCGAAGTAATTTTCGGCAACGTTTAAGAACGGCTGGCTTTGAGGCGTCCGACGCCCCGTGACCGAGTCGGCAAATGTCGCAGTGCTGAACGTATTCTGCGTCCTGGGTGCGAGTATTTGTTATGAATCGAAGAGGGGAACAGAACAATTTCATGAAAACACAGGTGAACTCTAGAAATTGAGAAAAGTCATCGATTAAAAGGCAAATACCGAACGGGCTCCATTCTTAAATCACGAAATTCTCCTTCGGAAGCGGTCGACGCTTTCAGCCGGAAAAAAAGGGCAATCGCCTATCTTCGACGGATCGGTAGCCTGTTCATCGAGCATCCATCGCCACGACGGCGTTTGCAAATAGCAGAGCCGACTAAGCTAGCGTAATGGCAAAAGCAATCAAATAAATAGCAGGAACGGGATCCCAATGCTTGCCAGAGAGCCATCCCCGTGCGAGAGAGGGAAATAACCGGGGAAGCACCGCCGTCATCCCCTGTCCGGATCGCAATCGCTGGCTGGTATCTCCGGCGCCCGGGACAATTTCCGCCTCGACCCCCTTCACCCCAGCGTCTCGCCCGCCCTCATTATTTTTCCGGTATTCCCCCCCCC